TGCAAGCGGAGTATTTCATAGTACCCTTTCATCAACTCCCTCTAACTGTCGATGACACCTTTAACATCTCGCTTTGCTACCCGTTTACTACTTTTCCTTAGTGGTCCTCGAGTGCATTAAGGACTTTTTGTTTCTCTCCTTTAATCCACGACACAGACCAGTCTCATCAGTTACTCCCACACATAATTACAGACGCCCCCTCGTTTCGTAGCAGTTCAGAGACCCAAACTCGATCGGAGTCTAGCGTAAATTTAGCTCACGCGAACTTGTTGTCGGTTTGTTTACTACTTTTTCAGTACTAAAGAAAAATGTTATTGTACGAATCTCATTGAAATGTGTGGAGTCGACGTGTGTTTGACGTTAGAAACGAAGTAACCGCAAATGTGTTTGAGTTCCAGGTCTGGGTTCTCATTTTCTACTGGATTCTGTCCAAGGGTTTGGGAAAAGACAGCTACTAAATAAGAAAAACGCCCGGGGAACCTCTTTTATTATTCAGCCCCGGGGGTTGTGTTTATCAGTCCGAGTATAATCACGCATTCGGTAATAAATAAAAACAAAAATACACCACACCAAAAAAAAAAAAACAACTGCAAAAGTATCTTCCAGATTGAGAATCCTAAGGTAATTAAAAAACATGTACAAGAAAATAATAGTCAACCTAAGTAATGAAAGTTATATAAGATTAAGGGGTATAAATAAAAAAAAAAAAAAAGAAAAAAAAAAAAGAAAAAAGGAAAAAAAAACAGAAAAAAAATAAAAAAAAAACAAAAAAAATATATAAAAAAACAACTTCTTACGCGTGTCGGCCGCACGCCGTCGGTGGTCCGTTTCACCTGCTCGGACCGAGACCTGGTACAGAGACGTACGTTTGAAACGGAGTACGGTAGATGAGGTGGTTGCGAGGTTCAAATGACTACGTCCTCGAACAGGATCCACGCAGAAAGGTCATGAGTCAGTACGACCCTAGGTTGCCTAGAAAACCAAAGAAAAAAGATAGGTACGACGATACTTTCAGAGAAGAACCGCAAGGATTATAGGGAGACTAGTAATAAGTGACAACGATGGACATGGACGACCACGCGGAAGTAGGAGTCGGTCGCGTAGCGTCTCGCACCGGGTCTACCACCTCGTCCTTGCAGTCTACCGCAGCGAGTATTTCACTGGTTTAGGTAACACAGCATACAGATACAGGAATGATAAGACACGACAGGATTGGTCGCGGACTGTAGACACCCCCCACTCCACAGAGATATTCAAACTGGAACACGGAAGGTTTCCGAAAGATGTTGCACGCGTCCGATAGGTAAAGGATAGGACGACACACAAGACGTGTGTGAGTTGTCGACCGGACTTGGGGGCACGAATGGACGAACTAGAGCGATCTCCAAACGACGTCCACTTCCTTGAAAGAGAGAGCAACGGTTGCGAAAGCAAGGAGTCCTCAGGACGAGTAAGACAGACGACAGCGTTTCGAGGAATATCAAAAACCGGACATAAAACCGCGGACAGAAACAAGACTCACGACCAGCTATAGGACGTACCAATAAAAAAAAAAAAACAACATACAAGACTAAATCCAGGATAGACCTGTCCTTACTGCACTTACTGATCAGGGTGTTTCGTTTACTCACTTTCGACAGATAACATGTTGAACTAGACTCAACAAATGTACTGCAACGGTAGGTAGAGTTAGGGGCGGCAGCTCGCTACTGAGGGTTACCCTACACGGGCTAAAAACGACGGAACAAGGGTGGGCTAACTGAGAGCTTTATAAACTGAACCAGAGAAATTGCTAGAGTGAGAGTGGGAGGGACGGAGACTTACCGTAATGTACACGACGAGAGACAATAAACAGCTACCTACAGTTAGTGATTTAATGGAAAAGATATAGTACCGAGTAGATCACCTGTCAACGGTTAATCGTTCAATTTTGATAACGAGTCACCGTTTGTGAAACTAGGATATGTCTTTGTATCAATGTCGTTGTGAACGTGGAGGGTAATGTTTTATATAGAGTAGAAAAGTTATAAACAACGTACACTAAAAACAAATTTATAACGAACAGTGTCACTCCTGGTACGTGCCGAAAGAACAACGTACCACACAAATTAACGGAACTTATCGTCACTGTGATCTCCGAACGATCACTGCTAACGGTTGTTAGTACACAACAACGTGAAGGGAGGACAAACAAACAGTGAACCGACAGGGGAACACAGGAAGAGACAACACTAAAATCTCTAAACTAAAGGACGTGTGGATAGAGCGTTGGTAGTTCGGATCAGGGGGGTTCAAACCCCACTGCAGTCAGCATGTCGTTGTGTCCCTGAGACACTTCACCCCAAATTGCTCCTGTGGGGATTGTCCACAGTATTGAGTATGTAAGTCGCTTTGGATAAAAGCATCTAACAAGTGACATGTAATGTAATGTAATGTAACTAAATACAGGGAGGGGTAATCAAGGAACAAGAAACAGCTGGGAAACAGCCTCCCCAGGAGGGAGAAACACAAGGGCAACAGGTGAACACAATCAGACAATCAGACACAGCAGGGAAACTAACGACAGGGAGGAAAACACAGGGAGAAGGACCAGACAAGAAGGAGGAAAACATGAAACAGGGAGAACAGAACAGCAAAACAAACCCAAACCTAGACATACAAAACTAAAAACGTGACATAACATAAGAATCGTGACATTGCCGTTACTGAAAGCTTTGTTCAAATTTAAATTACAGCCTTAATGAGGGGTGTACTTCACAGCTGCAAAACAAAGGAGATAGTTGTCGACTTCAGGAGAACCTCATCCCAACACCCCCGCCCCCTGACAATCAATGGTGCCGCAGTGGAGGAGGTGAGCAGCACCAAATGATTGGCGGTGCAGATCACCGAGGACCTTTCCTGGAGCAATCACATCACGTCACTCGCCAAGAAAGTCCAGCAGCGCCACTACTTCGTCCGCAAACTGAACATGCACACCTTCTACCGAGGCGCCATCGAGAGCAACCTCAGCAGCTCCATCACCTTGTGGTTCGGAAGCTGCACAGCATCCAACCGCAAGACACTGCAGCGTATCGTCGTGAACACTGCTGAGAGGATCATCGGTGTCTCACTCCCATCACTCCTGGACATTTATAACACCCGCCTCACCCGCAAAGCACTCAGCATTGTGGGTGACCCCTTCCATTCCTCCAACTGCCTCTTCACCCTCCTGCATTCAGGGAGAAGTTTCCGCAGCCTGAGATCGAGCACCACCCGACTGAAAAACATGCTTCGTCCACCACGCTGTCAGGAGGCTGAACTCTTCCCCCCCCTCACACCTCTTCCCTCTCTCCCTTCTCTCCCCTCTATCTCACCTCTCCACCATGCCCCCACTGGACCGGGTCTTTAACACCCCCCGACACACACTGACACAACAAATCCAGCACCAGTCACAGTCACTTTTACGCTGCTATGGACAATTTTGCACTCCCTTTTGCACAATGTACATCCTCTTTTTTTTATATATCCTGCTTACTTGAAGTAAAGGTTATTTTTGAGTGTTTTTTTTTATTATTGAGTGTTCTTGCATTTTAATGTGTACGTTTTGTATACCTCGGGACTGTGGGCAACAGTATTTCGATCTTTCTGTGTGTACAAATATATTTTGAGATTGACAATAAAGTTGACTTTGATAATAACTTAGAGAGGATGAAAAGGTTTGGTTTGCCACCTGAAATGACTGCGGTGCTTAGAAAGCAGGATGTGCAGATGTATTAAACATCACAGATTTGAAAAGCTTAGAACATTAAACCCTGCACAGTGTCAGTGTTTGTGCATTTGGGGGTTTAAGGGTTGTTTAAATCCTCAACTGGGTCACAGCGGATTAAAAACTGTGCAGATCAAACTTTTCCATACTCATGTCTATAATTTGTTCAAAAACTTAAAGGGAGGGAATACTTACAGAAAAGGGAATAACAGCAAAACAAGATTACAGCGGAATGCATGAGTGATATTTGTTAAAGTCTGTCTCACTGTTGTTTAAAAAAGTTTATACCCTTGTTCTGAAGTCTTCCTGGGGGCTTTGCCATTTGGAAATATGACATCAGCTTCAACAGGTGGCACATGATGTTTCTGTGGATTCCAGCTGAGAGACAGCAAAAACTGAGGAAAGCTGGAATTGATTTTCCCCTTTGATGCAACATGTGGCAGAGGAAGCATGAAACTACAATTCTGGACAGAGAAACAATACACACGTAGTAATTCTAACAAGTATGATGCAGAGAAAATCAAATATGAGAAAGATAATTATTAGTCAGATATTCTTTTTTGTATTGACTTGTAGGCATTTATGATGAAGTTCTGCAAATCTTTCAAAAAAAGTCCACTTTGTAATCTTTCGTTACAAAGTGGACCATAGTTGTGATTCAACACATGCATGCGTCCTCTACAGATCTTTGAATATTTTACGCGCACCATTGTTTCCGCGTATCCAAAGCCCCCTGAACGAGGAAGCTCACGGAACAAACGTGATTGTGTAGAAGGTTTCGGTGACATGTCACGTTACATTCTCATTGCCTCCTGACGGGCGTGCTGTGAGACTGTGATGTGTCTTCTTCAATCAGAGTGTGAATTTTCTCTGGTCCAATAATCTGGCTGGTGAGGAAATGAGCGTCAACCGCGCGACTGAGCTCTGCGCGTTCACATGGAACCTATAAACGGACGTGGCGCGCAGAGCTGCAGTCTGAAGAGAGGAGGAGAGGATAAACGTGACAGAGGATAACATCTTTAGCGCACTGAAGAAGAAGAATCCACAGATACTTCAGGAATGCTCAAACATTTTTTGTATCTCTCTTTTCTAACAAAGCTGTCCAGCTCTGATTTCCATGGTAATTTGTGAGCAGGAGAACCCAACCATGCAGCTGAATGAGACTGGAGGTCAAGCACTGGCTCCAGAGCCATGTGAGACGCAGATACTACAGGAGGACAGCTTTGGAAACTGCAGCGGAAGCTCCACAATCAACATGTCTCTACACTGCTGGCTGCAGCTCCTCTCTAAGGAATCTATCATGGAGTTTCAAGGAGACAGCTCCAGTCTGGTGGTGCGTATGTTGATAGCTTGTGTCTACTCCATAGTTTGTGCACTGGGGCTGGTAGGAAACTCACTGGCGTTGTATCTGCTGCACTCACGTTACAGGGAGAAACAATCATCAATCAACTGCTTTGTGATGGGACTGGCTATCACAGACCTGCAGTTTGTGCTGACGTTGCCGTTCTGGGCGGTGGACACAGCATTGGACTTTCGCTGGCCATTTGGCCGTGTGATGTGCAAAATCATCAGCTCTGTCACCACCATGAACATGTACGCCAGTGTATACTTCCTCACAGCTATGAGCGTGGCACGTTATTACTCCATCTCCACCGCGTTGAAGATGCACAGCCGGCGTGCGGCAGCCACCAGAGCAAAGTGGACGAGCCTGGGCATCTGGACCATGTCTCTGCTGGCAACTTTGCCTCATGCCATCTACTCCACCAGCTTCCAAGTTTCTGATGAGGAGCTTTGCCTGGTGCGCTTTCCAGACTCAGGCAGCTGGGATCCACAGATTCTTTTGGGTCTCTACCAGCTGCAGAAGGTCCTGCTGGGCTTCCTTATCCCTCTGATCATTATCACTGTCTGCTACCTGCTGCTGGTGCGCTTCATCCTCAGCCAGCGCATCGCAGGAGCCGGTGGCCCAGAGGTGGAGCAGGAACGTCAGAGGCGTCGCTCTAAAGTGACCAAATCCATTGTGATCGTAGTTCTGTCCTTCTTTCTGTGCTGGCTTCCTAACCAGGCGCTGACTCTGTGGGGAGTGCTCATAAAGTTTGACCTTGTGCCCTTCAGCAAGGCTTTCTACAACGCGCAGGCCTATGCCTTCCCCCTGACTGTGTGTCTGGCACACACCAACAGCTGCCTGAACCCCGTGCTCTACTGCTTGATCCGCAGAGAGTTTCGTGCAGGTCTGAAGGAACTTCTCCTCCGTGCCACGCCGTCCTTCAGGAGCCTGACTCATCTGCTGCGTCGCAAAGCCAAAGTGGCCGAGGCGCCGCCTGTTCTGGTGCTGGTCCAAATGGATGTCTGATAGGCTTACTGTGACAGAAGAGTGAATGACTAGCCCACAAAGCAAATGAGTGAAAGCTGTCTATTGTACAATTGATCTGGAGTTGTTTACTATGACGTTGCATCCATCTCAACCCCGTCAGCGATGACTCCCCAATGGGATGTGCCCGATTTTTGCTGCTTGTTCCAAGATTGACTCTGAAAATATTTTGACTTGTCTCTTTAACGATCTCACTCTCACCCTCCCTGCCTCTGAATGGCATTACATGTGCTGCTCTCTTGTTATTTGTCATGGATGTCAATCATAAATTACTTTTATATCATGGCTCACTAGTGACAGTTGCAATTAGCAAGTTAAAACTATTTGGCATCAGTGGCAAACACTTTGATTATACAAAACATAGTTACAGCAAACTTGCACTCCAATACAAAATATATTATCTTTTTCAATATTTGTTGCATTTGTGATTTTTTTAAATATTGCTGTCACAGTGAGAACCATGACACGGCTTCTTGTGCATTGGTGTGTTTAATTGCTTGAATACAGGACACTAGAGGCTTGCTAGTGACGATTGCCAATCAAATTAAGTTGTTTGACTCGACATCACAAACAAATGTGCAAATTGATTAAACTCACAACAACCAGATGAACCTGACATATAACTGCATTGTATCTTAATTCCCCCAAATTTAACGTGAATGACAACCAAAACTATATTTTCAGTACTTTCAAAAGGTTTTGTCTTGATAAACCACAGCTTTGACTCCCACAATGCATGAGATAACTTCCCTGATTAAACTCTCTGACTGTGCATTGATGATTTAAGTGGAGGTAACAACATATCTCAAAATGTGTTAGTAAAGAAACGTGAATGTAATATGAGTATTGAGGAGGTTTCCCAGTGCATTGTCCAGTTGCTGTATTTTTTCAATTTTTCTTCTGTGCTCATTGTGTCATACAGTAAAAGCAAACTGGGGAAAACTAAACCTAACCAAATGAGATTAAAACAAATAACAGATTATTTGCTATATAAAAAACAACAGTACGGTCATTGATTAGCCTTTTATATTATTTGAAACGTGAGAAAATGACAAGGTTAAGCAATGTATAACATCTGTGCTGCTTATTGGGTAATACACAATAGACTATATATTTGTTAGCTGCATTGTCTTAGGGGGGAAAAATAATGTCTGGCATTTACTTTTGTTTTTCAGGCAACATATAATACAGTAAAATGTAAATCAATTTTGTCCTTCAGTCCTTGAGAATCAAGAGTGGAAGTGCTCAAACCACACATGAGCTGAGAACATGTACTGTATTGTATGAACTCAAATAGAAATATTAATGCTCACTGTTTCTCTCTCACACACACACACATACACACACACACACACACACACACACACACACACACACACTACTACTACACTACTACACTACACACACACACACACACACACACACACACACACACACACACACACACACACACACACACACACACACACACACACACACACACACACACACACACACACACACACACACACACACACACAAGCAACATTTTTATGGGTGCAGTATTTTCTTAGCTCTTTATGTGTCAGATGAATAGCATTCTGAATAATTCAGAACATACGTCAGATTTTCAGACGCATGTATCTGGGCAGCATATTAATTTATTCACGAGGAACAGTCCACCCGCCATTCTTCCTCTGTTAAATTACATGGTTGTTGAAAGAGCACAGTAACAATTAAAACCTACGTAATAATGTAATTTGTGAATGTATTGTCTCTTAGTATTCTCTCATGGCTGTGAACATAATCCTGATCTTTTATTGAAGACATTTGTTGATTTGATGTTTCAATGCAATGTTCCAATTAAGTACATCTTTAATTAAAAGTCCCCCTGTTTAAACTTTTTGAAATAATTGGGCAATTTAGAATTCAGACATTACTGTATACCCAAGGCAGCCTTGTTTGAAGAAAAAAACCCAGGATAAATGTTTTAATAGACAATGACTTGATTTGATGTGGCGTAATTAGGTTGTTTATTTTATTCTGTGTTTGCACTGCATTTCTTCAATATTTAAAAACATCACCACTGCAGAGCACAACTAATCTATGAACAAAGCTGCTGAGAAATAGGCTGTGAACAAGAATTGCTGTCAGAGGAAATGGCTTTTCTCAATCCACTCTTGAAATTAAATTTGTCTTTTAATCAGAGCACCCTGAGAGAAAAACAACTCGCTGTTGTTTGATGATTAAAGTTTGAGATAGGAGCATTGAGGGTCCTGTATAAGTATCTAATATAAATTCTCAGATCAATGTTGTACATTAGACTGTGTCAGATTTAACAGTATTTATAATTAAAAACGATATTGTGCGTTAGAAGCACCGGGTGATTTCTGTGGTGGAAGAGAAAATATATTGAATATGCCATGCATGGGTGGTCAGTTGTTTGTGCAGCAATTGAAGTTAACCTCATACACAATGCAAAAAGAGATGGAGGAGCATGGTCAACAACAGCCCACAGCTCCGGCTCCCTGGTGGGTTAATCAGGCCATGCTATGGGACATAATTATTTTTAGGAAATAACAGAAACAGTGACCTGTGCAACTTTTACTCTGGTCAGTGAGCCAAGGATGTACAGTTGAACGAGTACTTGTGCATCCATAAATGCCTGGAGACAGAGTCAAGCTGTATTCATTGTGCATTGTTTCTGAATCCCAGGGGGCTTCAATATGCACAGCATTCTAAAATAACAGTCTGTACTGGAAATGTAAGTCATTGAAAAATAACTGTTCCTGAGGGGGTGAAAAACGCACATCCAGTAGAGTCGGGCATGAGTAGATTTTTAAAAACCTGTACGCTTCACATTATTGCTGATTCTCCATGATAAAAACAGGGGGTTTATATTTGTCGTGGCTTCCTTCCTTGTTTATCTATCAAGCCACTAGACGCCTTAAACCAGGGGTGTCAAACTCAATTTCATCGCGGACCACATTCGCATAAAGGTTCCCCTCAAAGGGCCGCTTGTAACTATATAAATATATAATATATATATATATCAAATAATGTATTATATTACATTATTGCCTCTGAATTGGATTATTATCAAGCAGGTTGCCCATCACGGTCACTTTAGCGCAGGCGACGTGGGAATTGTAGTCTTTCATAGTGTGTTGACTACAGACGTCACAATTAGGTGGCCTTTCTTATAAAACAAAATACTGGCTCTAACACTATTCATGCATCTGTCCAATCCCTTTTCACTCTCTCTGTGGATGACCGTTTTTGTAATTACTCACACTTACACAACGGAGAGCTGTAGCTTCAAAGTGTGCGTCCTGTAAACCCTGCTGGGCGATCCACAGAATACAGCACAGGGTTAGCCTCTTTCCAATAACAGCTGGCAGGCTGTCTGGCCAAACGCCACAATGAATACTCAGCATGCAAAGCTTATCTAATTGTATTGAGCAAGTGCCATGCAGAGAAAAACTGTTTAGCATTTTTGTGCTGTTCTTAAAAATGTTTGCTTTCACACCTGCATGTATGAATGTAGAGAATATATTTACACTGATGTACGTATTACAGGATCAATAACAGAGGAAATAATAGCTCTACATTTAAAGGGATATTTTGGTAAAGTCAATCCCTGATAATAAATAGGGCTTCAAACCCTATTTAACAATAAACAAGGAGAGATACCTGGAGGGCAGGACATGGAGAACTGGCTGAGGGACAATGAGCCATATGTCATTACTGGCAGGTTAATCTTTTATATTGCACTGTGCTTTGGCCGTAATTTAAAGGACCGATTCATTTCATTGCACCCTCCCAGAATAGACTCACATCTGAGTTCATATTAAACACAGAATGGTCACGTGTCTTCTTCTCAATTTCTCTCTTGTGGGACCACGTTTTCAATTAGAACCAAATGTTGAATATGCCCTCCTGTCACGGGAGTTCATGGATTTTTTTAAGTAAGCTATTAGACAGGCTCCTAAATACCATTCATGTCGGGGTGTTTGATCAATACTCAAGTTCCCCTCGGACGGGAAGCGATGTTAGAAGGTTGCATGACACCCTTGGTGCTGATCTTTCTCCAAGGCCTAATGATTGCCGAACGAACTCTTGGGTGTCCAGAATAGTATGTTGTCCCTCATTAGAGATTCAAAGGAATAGACAGGGTTGACTTTTAAAAACAAGATGGAATTATTTAGGAGAAGGTGACACATGGCTATAAATGTCCCATAGTTTCCATCAAAAGCACGTACAGAGAGAGAGACCCTACAGCTAAATCGATTATACATGTGAGGCTGCAAACTTGGCACCTCACGAAAAGCAAAGCAAATGTATTTGTACAGCACCTTTCATCCAGAAGGCTTTCAAAAGAGCTTAATATAAGAGAGAAAGGCCTTGAGAAAATGTAACACAAGGAAAAAATTAAAACCTAAAAATATAAGTAAAAAGGCATGTGAACGATCTGAGAGCTGTAGGTATTATCTAAGCAGGAGATGTGGGGTGCTTATAATTTAATAATTAGAAAATCAGAGCACGTTGCGGTTGTAGGTGAAAATGCCTGAAAACAAGTTAGACCACATTCACTGTAAATCAGTTGTACTGTTTTCTCGCTCTTTATTTCTGTCCCTTTTCCGTATACCTTGGACTATAACCCTAGTGCAATTTAATAATCTTTAAACAGAGATTAATCTCAGACAGCTCTCTTATATCAGAACTGTTTTCCTCATGAATACAAATAAACTTCATCCACTTCCTCCACTCAAACTAACCAGGATTTACTTTGACCCTAAGAAATTAGTCATTCAGAGCAGCACCTTACTTCTGTGGATAGTGGTTTCATTTCCAAGATATTTCTTGCAGGTTTAGGGGAAGATTTTCAATCAAGGCGTTTGAGAGTGGCTCCATTTTCCAGTCATGTCCATATCTTCAAAAGTCCTTCATGGAATTCAATTTCCTCTCCTAAAGCAACAGAATGTGTTTATCTCTCTGACTATTAAGAGGCCTTATGAGCTCTGAGCACGAGCCCAGAGTTAGTCACAGGTCGACTCTCTCGCTGCCTCTCAGCTCTCTGCTGTACCGAGCTGGACTGGGATTGACTCCAGCACTCTTTACAGCCTCAAGGGGTAATGGAGTGTGGCTGCTGGATTGGCTCTTCCCTCAGTGTGTTCTGCTCGGCTGTAATAACATAGGACATGACATTTTCATCTGGTAAACTTTTTCTCATTTGGCTGCTGTCACACATAGAAACTGAAGCTGTTTTTGCGGGTGACTTGAAGAAAGTTAAGGAGAGAGAAAGCACAAACCCACATATAGGAAACACACATCTGCACACACTTACTTATACAACATAATGTAAGAGAATGTTACTGCTTATTAAGCAATTAATGTATGTGATGTACTTTTGGTTTAGTGATGAAATCATTGTTTCTTTAGAAAACTCCCACCGGGTTGCAAATGAGCTAGAAACCCTACTGTACATGCAGCACATCTGTGTTAGTATTACCTGTTACAATGCTTTTATTGTATGTGTCCCTGGTGTGTCAGGGAACTCACAAAGTGTCAAACAAAACCCTCTTTTCCTCCGTACCCACTTCTCTAAAAACGGAGCTGATCCAGATTTGCTGCCGATATGACGTAATATCGGAAATGTGGGCTGGCTTTACGCCCACAGCCCTATCAGAAACGTTGCTATCAGAAACAATGCACAACGTGTTTTGGACGTAATATGGTCTTTGTTTATATTAGCAAGCATCGCTAACACTCAAAGCTAACCTGTACTGGAGATTATGTGTAAAAAACAGGAAATAAAAAGGTACTCACCTTGTGGTAAACCCGCAAGAGAAAAAGCATTTGAGCTCCATACTGTTTCAGAAATAATCCTTGATGTGGTTTGGAACATGGCGTTTCATCACGGCAGCATTTAGTATCTCGGAAGAATTCTGAGCAGGCATTAGCAGTGGGACTAATAAAGGTATTCTGATTCTGATTCTGATTAATACCTCTGATACATCACAGTCAAATCTTCTCTTGTCTCATGAATTGCTTGTTTGAATCACTCAAGTGTCTTGTCAGCTTTGCCCCCTGCATGATGCACATAAACTGCAGGCACCACAGAGAGATACGATTCAATACTCCTGGTTTCTATCATTGGCCACCAGTCAGTCTGCAACTCCTT